GTCGGATTCTGGGTCGAATCGTTGCACGAACGGTCCCTGCTAGGCGTGCCTCACCAAAAGTGTACTAGCCAGAGCACAGAGGCATCTGGTTCCTGTCAGCTCGTTCTCGGTTATCTGGTGCACTGCACCGTGCACGAGCGAGTGCACTTCAGCGGTCGCCGCAGGACGGCGGCAAGCACCTTCCCGCCCGGCCATCCAGCTCCGATTCTCCGCGGCGCCCATTCGTGTGGTGGCACTGGCAAGCACGTGTCTAGAAATTCTGCATCGACGAAACGTGGCCGTGAGCGTACGTGACGAAAGATGATATATACTCCTTGCTACGGCGATAAATCTGCTTCGCGATTTGTACTAGCCGAGCACCGATGCCTAGATGCCACGAACACCGCCTTCCATCCACTGAACAGTACAGGTTATACGGACCGCCGAGTTGCACGGACCATGGTCGGCGTTAGATAGACCCAGGGGTTTATGTGCCTCACAAGTCACAAGAGAAAGTGACGGACATTTGAGTCATCATCGTTGACGCACAGTAAATCAGTAATTAACTTTGAATTAAGCAAAAGCCAATTCAACCAAGTTGGACAATTGTTTGGTCGTGGGCGAAGCATCTTGGTCTTCACCCCTAAGCAATCAAATTCAGCAAGCGCAAGCGCATCGGCTCAGTTTGCCACTCTGGCCATGTTGCAATCAAATTCAATCACATCAGCTTAGATAAGACGAACCAGAGGACAGGGTTCGTTCTTGGGGTCTCTATTTAGCTAGATTAGAGGCCGAACTAGGTCTTGGTCCTTAAACAAAGGTTGCTGCACTCAAGCTAAACTACAACTCTTATTTAAGGTCAAACATTATTAGAGCACTCTAAGTCATAAATCAACTAAGGTCAAACTAGTATCACGAAAAAGATGATTTCATGATCATTAACACTAAGCATTTTTAGGCTAATAGATCAAACCCTAGCTTATTTTTAATCCTAAGTTGTTTGGAGGCTTGTATCTTCCTAACCAGGCCAAACCAGTCCAAGATCCTTTAAGCAAAGTTGTTAACCTCATGCAACTCTACATCCCTGGTTTGTTGGTGTGATCTTTAGCTGTTTAGTTTGGGAGAAAAAGGAAGGAGAATGAGAGTTTCAGTCAATCGGATGACTGCTGGGACGCCTTCAGAGGCTCATCGTGGCTGACCGGGCTCAGGCCACGTACGCGCGCGTGGCCTCGTGCTCGCTCGCATGCGTGCCACGGTGCCCCGTTCGCTCGTCTTGGACGCCCGAACGCCCTCCCATCTCTCTCGCTCTCTCATTCTCTCTCGCTCTTGCTCTCGCTCTCTCTCGCTCGTGCTAACCATTGCCGGCCAAGCAGAGCTCCTGCTACCGCTGTTCCCTGCCTCCGCGCCACCACTCACCCCCAAGCCGAGCGCCGCCTTAGTATCCGCCTCGATCTCCTCCATCGCAGGCGCATCCTCAGCTGCCACTGCCGCCGTTCTTCCCCACGGTCGCCGGACTGCGCGGCTTGGAGTCGCTGCTGCTCGTGGTCCGGTATCGTCAAGCCGACTCCGCCCAAGCTGCGCCCCTCTGTGGGTGCGCATGGGCCCGAGCTTGCCCTAGCGCCACCTCTCGCTGTTGGCAAGGGCCTGTGCTAGTCGGAATCGACTTTGTCGTCGTCCTCTACTCCGTGGAAGAGGAAGAGAAATATATACGGAGTCGCCGAGCCCACCGGCACCTAGCCACCATGTTTATTTGGCAAAAAAAAAAAACTCATCCGATTTCTCTCAGCAAGCTACGCTAAGATCTTTTAACTTGGTAATCAACAACTCCAGATGTTACTTAGAGCATGTGGTGGATCCATTAGTGCTAATACTAGTTAGCAGCTAAGGGGTGTTCGAATAACCCACAACGTTGTAGATGCGGCTGCACACAGTGTCATATGTGTGTGCAGCTTTAGCCACGGCTGCAGCAGCAGCCGACTTTTCATTACAAGTAGACACTCCCTAAAATTAGTGGGTGGTAATCAAACATATATGCTAATAGACTAACTATTAGCAAGGAGAGGTATTAACAATTAGCTAATTAGTTGGTTATAAGGGATTCTAATAGTTCATATACACCCCATCAACTATTCAACCAATTATTATCATGTAGATCCAAATAGCTCCACTACTAATAGTTAGTAGTTTTTTAAGGTCAGTCTGGATCACTCAATTAAACTTTAGGTGATGGTAAGTTTTAGACCATCCAAACATGTGGACTAAACTTTAGTCTGATTCAACTAGCTGTTAGTTTCTCTATGTATTAAACAATGTAGGACCAAATTTTAGTGACCTAAACTTTTACATAAGTTTTACCTGGACAAACAATTTGTCCAGGTGATTTATTAGCTAATGCAAACGAAATGATTTGGCAATATTAACACAATCAGAAGCTACTCCGTGGGCAAAAACTCCTATAGTTGAAATAGTATCGTATCACGGTACGTACACCGGGTGCGCCAAGCAAATCCTCCTTTATTGTTTCGAATCTCCCAAACAGGCTCATAGGGCGCGTTTGGGAGCGTGGCCCAAGAGCCCGACTGTGCTGGTGGGCTACAACTCCCGTGTTTGGGAGCCTTGGCCCGCTCAGCAGCTAGGCCGCCGGGGTGTAAAACAGCCCCCTCTGCCTGGCTCCGAGGAAATGAAACTAGGGTTAGTTTCTCCTGGGCGCGGCTGTGAGCGGCGCGAGGGCGGGCGATTTCGGCGGTGGCGGCTGGCTCGCACGGGAAGAGGGAAAGGTTCGCACCACTCCGTCGACCGCAGGGACTCCGTGGAGGCGGCCGTCTTCTTCCCTCTTCTTCTATGGGTGCGGTGGTGGTAAAGCTCTTCTTCCGGCCCGATCTACTTCCTCTCTGGCCCGATCTGCTTCTTCTGCCTCACCAGGTCTTGTTCTTCCTCCTAGTACGCCGCTTCTTTGTGCCGACGCCGACCCCGAGGTGAAATCGACCCCCAATCCTCCCTCCTTCACGGCGATGATGTTAGGGTTTCATATCCTAGTTGTTGTTCATGATTGGTTCATCTGATTTGAGTACTACTTGGTGTTCCTCGATGGATTAGGGTTGACTATCATAGTTCAGTGATGGTCGTTCTTACAGTCTTTCTTGCTTGCTACTATGATTTGCTTGTTCCTTGATGAGCTCTGTATACCTGATGCGTTTCTTGCTGTTCATATGGTTTGTTTCTGTATTTTTATGATATGGTCAATGATGTTGTCCTGAGCATCTAGAGGCATGTACCTAAATGCAGCCGTGCTTTATTTGCTTACTGAATCATTGTACAATCATGTTGAGGCTAGGCAGGGTATGATGATCTGAGTTTGTGTTACATTGTTATATGCATGTAGATGGATCCCTCTGTGAGCCGTGAGATGATGTGTAGGCAAGTAGCTGCCCTGGTTGTAGTCATGGTGTTCTTTGTTACCAGTCAGGTTTAAAAGGAAAAGGGTTGATAGTGAACCTGGCCCTTTGTTGTATGCACTTAGGGATGAAGCTGACCAGCATAGGCAACCGACCCTTAACTTGATCTATAACTCTAATGATGGAGAGTGTCTATCCATGCTTAGGATGTCCAGAGCACATTTTTTTGCTTTATGCAATCTGTTTAGAGCTAGGAGCCTAGTTTCTGATAGAGAGGGGGTCACAGTAGAGGAGCAGGTTGCATGTTCCTCCATGTGGTTGATCACAACCAAAGATTTAGAGTTATCCACCGGTCTTTTAGGAGGTCCATTGAGACAGTGCACAAACACTTCCACCAGGTTTTGTATGCTGTTGGTGAGCTTAGGAATGAGATGATCGAGTCTCCTAGCACTGCCATTCACCCAAAGGTACTTGGGAGCCATAAATGGAATCCATTCTTGAAGATAATTGTGAAGCACATGTTTCTTCATTTGGTAGATGTGCATATTCACATGTACTGTTATCTCACTTCCATGGTTTTTATGACTGTATTGGTGCCATTGATGGCACCCATGTGTTGGCAAGGGTGCCTAGACACATGCAGGCTGCTTTCAGGGGTAGGAAACACAACCCCACACAAAATGTCATGGCTACTGTGGACTTTGATCTCAAGTTCACATATGTCCTTGCTGGCTGGGAGGGCTCTGCCCATGATGCACTTATCCTGCCTGATGCCATAGAGACGAATGATGGGTTAACTGTACCTGAAGGTAACTGCACTACCTAGTCAATGCACTTATGTTCTTAACAATGGCACACACACTCACATTAGATGTCCAATTATAGGTAAATTCTACCTGGTAGATGCTGGCTATGCATGCCGCAATGGCTTCCTACCCCCTAGGGGGGTCAGGTACCACTTGACTAAGTTTGGGAGCAGAAACCACCCAACCAATGCAAGGGAGCTTTTTAACCTAAGACACTCATCACTAAGGGTCACTATGGAGAGGGCTTTTGGTGCACTAAAGAATAGGTTTCGTATCCTAGATAACAAGCCCTTTCACCCATACAAAACTCAGGTCAAGCTTGTATTGGCCTGCTGTATTCTGCACAATTGGATCCTAGGTTTTGGTATTGACCAAGTTGTGCCACCCGAGGAGGGTTTCACTGGCAACCAACCTGACCCACTTGAGAACCTGCCCAATAATGACAGCTAGTTCCAAGACTCTAATGCCATGGCACTTAGGTGGGATGCCATCTGTAATGCTATGTGGGAAGGGAGGGGTACCTCTAGGATCTGATCATGCAGTAACTTCGTTATTAAATTTAGTTTGTATACCCTGCTATGGAACTCATGTTTGTATGATGTTTATGTAATAATTTGTTGGACAAGGCTGAGACCAAATATGTAATAATCTATCACTGGTTCACTTGTTCTTTAGCCATGAAACTCAGCCATACAGTGGTAGCAACATAGATCAATTATGATGTTCCTGTTGTATGGCTGTGTCCCATGACCAAAGCTTATGTGTATTCATGATTGTTATGTTATTCTCCTACTACTTTGAAATTGCAATATCAAATAGGATGGCTCCACCCCTAGTTCATCTGCTTGGTGCCCAGGGTGGGTTTGTGGATGCTTCTGATGTAGTAAATGGGCTGCTAGGGGTGTTGTTGCTGCTACTATTGTAGCTGGTGCTGGTGCAGCAGTTGCAGCTGGTATTGGAGCTGGTGGTGGTGCACCAGCTGCACCAGCTGGTGGTGGTGCTGCTGCTGGGGGTCCTAGGGCCATGAGGTGGAACAACAACACCTCTGGCTTTGTCCTTTGGAGGATGACACAGCTTGTTAGTGATGATAGTAGACCTGACAAAGTCTTCAAGGATAAAGATGTTAACCATTTTGCCAAAGCCCTTAAGGAGTACAGTGGGGAGGCAGTGAGCCCAACTTAGGTGTACAACCACCTAAGCAAGTGGAGGCAGAAGTGATCTAGGGTATGTAAGCTCAAGGACCTGAGTGGGGCACTTTAGGATAGTGACACCAATGCTATCATGCTTGAGCAGGAGCACTACCTTGGCCACTGCAAGGTAGAACTTTGTTTTCTTTCCTCTATGTCCTTATACCTATCTTTCCATTACTTGTCTAAAACTATACCCTTCCCCTCCCTCCCCCTTACTATAGGACCATCCTAAAGATGCAGAGTTTCTAAATTGCCCTATAAGGTTTTACATTGAGATGGAGTCCATCTTTGGCCATACTATGGCCAATGGTAGGTTTGCACTTGTTTCTGGTGAAGCCCTAGGGTCCAACCAGGCTAAGAGTGTTGCTGCTAAGGTAGAGGGTCCTTCCTCTACCCATGTTCCTGCTAAGAAGACCCACACTAATGTAGGATGCAGCAGCAAGGCCACATAGCTCCTCTCCTCAGCTGTGGGTGCAAAGAGGAAGAAAGGCACCTTTAGTGAGGATGAGATAATTATGTTGACCAACATGTCTGATGCCATGAACAATGTTGCCAATGCTCTTAGGGAGACTGGACCAGCCCATGTTGATGCTGCCTCTACCTTGATGTGATGGAGATGCCTGGTTTTATTGAGGAGGCACTGATAGTGGCCTACACCTACCTGCTGGACAACAAGGCCCAAGGTAGAGGCTTTGTTGGCATGAGTGACACCCAAAGGGACATTTGGCTCAAGAACTACCTAGCTAAGAACTACTACATGTAGTTCCTGCACATGTTGGCAACCACATGCATTGAGGGGGTTGACTATGGAGATGCATAGTTCCTCCACCTCCTTCACCCACTCTCTCTAATTTTGACTATAGTTGAGCTATAGTTATTTTGTATAGGTTACTTGGTTGACGCACACCTATCCTTTTGGGTTCTTTCTTGGGAGGGTGGCTAACTATATGTGCTAGAGGGCACCATGTAGGCATTTAAGACTAGAATTGTTGGGCAGAACAATCATGTTGTAAGGCACCATTTGTAGCCTATGTTGGCTACTTTATTTGAGATCAGTTGTTCCTTATTCTCTTACTTATGAACTATTGGTTTTGTTTCTTTTGATTGGTGGTAACTATGGGAAATCTATAAGACCTATGATGCAAACAACATATTCATGAGTGTGACACCCTCGGTGTTACACCCTAAACAAACCACTAAACCATGTCATGAGCATCATGTTTAGGTGATAAAGCATGTGATAAAGTGTGTAGATCAATTTTTTAACCTAAAATGACTAATAAAAATGTTAAATGAAAGTTGATTCAATAGCTCATGTATATCAAGTAGGGTTGAAAACCAATTTTTATTGAGCAAAAATATTATAGAACATGTATGTGACCCTAAATAAAGTTTGAAGTATAAACTTTGTAGAGGACAATGCAACTCTTGTCTTAGAAAAATAATATTGCTAGCTAGTATTTCTAATAGCTTAGAAATGGAACTTGAAATCAAATTTAGCCCAAGACAGCAAATTCTTGTCTGAAAATAGTGTGACAATGCAATGTTGGTGAATTAATTCTGGAAAATCTAGCTAAATGTCAATGATGTGTTTTTGCTCCTTATGGTAGACTGATTTACCCTCTTTAGCATGGTCGAGGTAGTTTAGCTTCAACTGTGTTAGGTTAGTTTTTAGACGCGCTTTAAAATTCATGCACGTTATATGCTTGCCCTGTGCGCACGGTCACCTCGCGCGGCTGCTCGGCGTCACACAGCTGCGCACGTCTAGCACATCGCGGTGCCAAGCCCGGTCGGCCTGTCTAGCCATGGGTTGGCCGTGGCTGGCCCCAGCGGGCCACTGTCATCGCCTTTCAGCTGCTGGTTGTCGCGCTGCTGCCGCACCTCACTGCTGCGCTGCTGCCACCACTGCCGCCCTTCCCGCCTTGCGCTGTGGTTCTATTGTTGTCCTCCTTGCATGCACGCGTGTGGGCTTGTCACGGCTACCATCGCCATCGCCTTGCCATCGTGTCCGCGCCCTTGTAGCTCTGCGCCGCTGCCTGGCCCTGTCCATTGGCGTTGCCATGGTCGCGCGTGCGCACATGGAACACTCGTTGCCCAGCCAGTGCCCGTGCTCGTAGCCACGGTGTTCCCACATGCGCCAAGCCGTTGCGATAGCCGTACCCCCCAACAGCCATCGTCTTTAACTATGTCACGCCGAGCGCAGGCTGACCTCCCTCCCCTCCTTATTGTTTTTACCCGATGCGATGCCATTCAATAAACCCATTAGGGAAAGGTCACCATCGCCCAATTCATCATGCCCCTAGCTCTGCCATTAACCCCCTTAGCCACCTGAACCCACCTAGCCTTGCGAGCACGACCAAGCTCCAATTTAGAGTTTTTCCCTACCGCCGTGCCGATAAGGTCGAGCTCGGCCATTGTTGTGGGCAGTCCTCTATCTGTCCACCCCGACCCAATCCAAGTGCACCGCTAGCTTCGCTTCCACCTCTACGTCGCCTTGCGCTCCTTAGCCCTACCCTGGCGCTGCTGACGAGGTCGTGTCCGCCACGGTTTGCCGCCGTGCCACTTGGTCGCACGCGGCCAGCCCTCCTCCGCCATCCTCTACTCCAACTGTCACTTTGGCTAGGTCCACGGTGAGCCCTTGTTGCTCGTACACTAGCTGGTGAAGCCGGTAGCTGTCCTAGTTCACTAGAACACTATTGCCATCGCCGCGGTTTGTTCGCCAATGTGGAGGAGCCACTGTAGTTCATCTCTGGTCTCCTAATCGTTGTCCATCATTGCGCTTTGGCCCGTAGGTGAGCACGGCCCTTTAGATGCGTCGTAGGGGTCCCCAGTTGGCCGGCGTAGCTGCTCAGTGCCGGTCAATGCCGCCCCAGCGAGTGCAGGGATGTCGGGGACCATTCCGTTGCGAAGATGGGTTAATGCTAGGGCTTCCTAGCATAAGCGTTGTCTGTAGGAATAGTGCGCAAAGCGGTCGTGTTAATATCGGATAACGCGGGGACATTTCTGCAAAAGCGCCATCACGCGTGGGCTCTCCCATCATGGGCCGCCTCGCGCGTGGGCCGCGCCCGCACGGGTTGCGCCTTTGTGGGCCGCCCGGTCGGATTCGTTTTTCTTTTTCTTAAGGAATTAGTAATAGCTTTCGATTTCAATTTCAGAGCTAGATTTGTATAATTAATATAAAATCATATAGGTGTCCAAAAATTGTGAAACTAATTTTGTTAGTTTTCTAAAATTATTGTCTATCTGTTGGTATAGTTAGTCATACATATCTGTGATGGTACTAAGGGCTATTAAATCATTTGAAAGTGTAATTATTGTAGAAACTTTTGTGGTAAATTGGTGATTGCGTTAACCCTGAAATTTTCACAGTAGCTTCATTGTATTATTATGTGCTTACTGTAATTTTTGTAGCTCTAAGATAGACTATTTATTAGGGTAGTTAAATATCCATTAAACCTTAATATGAATAAGAGACTAATATTGACTTATGAAATTAAGCACTTGTTAGGATGAGCTTGACACTTGATTTGAAAGAGCTTATGGTTAGCTTAATATCTTAGTCATTAGAGCTAGCTTATTAGTATGACATATGTGTTCTTATTTTAAGAATTGTTGTTGCCTAAATACTAAATAGCTGCATCCTAGTCATCGCATGCATCTATAGAACGAGTCGACGGAGATTGTGACCACCAGCGAGCATGAGTTTGAGGAGATCATCGAGGAGTACGAGGAGGACATTTGTGGCAGAACCTCCTAATCTAATGCTTCACAGGAGTGCTTGTCTTCCATTAGACACTAAGCACTTATGGGAGAACACCAAATTACGTAGTTCCTTCGGGCACACCCCAGGGGAGAACCCAAAAATCCACATTTTTTCATCAGGATCACAAATGAGAGAATAAAGCTTACATCATTATTAACCATTTCTTACATCACTTTTAATACAACATCAGAGTATGATATTTACTGATTATAATAGCGAAATGTAATCCTATTATCAGAGTTATGAATAATTTAATTGAACAGTGGAATATAAACATGTGATCAGAATTACAGTGGAAATAATTATCTATTCATGGCATGATGAAACATTGATATATGATCAGAATTACAGCGGAAATAATTACAGCGATTCGTGAATCAATGCCTCCAGCTAGGTACCCCAAAAACACACGCCCCGCTTGTACCCCGAGCACAAGCAGGACCAACCTATCACCCTCCTGTCCTAGGTGTCCAGGTCCCCGTCCAAACTGAGACTCCAAGCCCTCGCCCCTGAGTCCCAGACTCAGTGCGGTGCAAGGACCTCCTAACCCAAAAACCACCAAGACAGTCAGTCCGGAAAGAGCCGGATCCACGACAAGAGAGCAATAAGTCTTCCAAGCGCCTATACCCAAGTATGTGCTCGGGATAATAAGTCTATGACTTGCCTTAGAGTCTTATGCAACGGTCGGTCCTCAACCGACACGGACAGGGACAACAGTGTAACCAAGCTATGCCCCACGTCCGCGGCGACACAACCTCTTACACCCACCAATAACCAAACCATATCTCTGTCCGGTCACCATTTTTCTTTCCACCATTTATATTTTTCAATTGATAATAATACAATAATATATTTTCTATCTCTCGCGAGTGACAGGCAATCACTCGACTTCTACCGGAGTCTTGTAGCATAGCAATCTATACGATCAAGTAATACTAGTAAGACTCATATATATATATATATATATATATATATATATATATATATATATATATATATATATATATATGCAAGTGGATTTCATTCAGCTCCTGAAAACTTAATGCACAAATATAATTTGAAGTGCTGAAAAGTAGGGGTTATGCACCGGGGCTTGCCTGGGTAAAAATATAATCAGAAGTTAGCTTTTCATCCTAGCGACTCGATCTCCAAAAGCACCATTTCTTCAGCAACTCCCGATGACTCCGCGATCCATTGACGTCCCTATTATGATAAGCAATGCGATGCAATGCAAAGACATCATTAATCAACTGCAATCGTGATTCGTAAAATACGATTTACACCTCTCAAGTTAACGAGCTAGTTCTAACGACGATCGTACTTAGGCTACATAAACCCAAGTTGTTTCTTTATTTTATTCTATCGATTTAATCATTATTTGAAATAGGGCATCATTACCTATCTAGCAAACTAATTATTCTGGAGCTACAAAAATTACAGTGAGCAGCTAATAGTATTACTACTTTACTGTAAAATTTTTAGAGTTAATATTATCTCCGATTTATCACGGAAATTCCTACAAGTTCACCTTTTAACACTATTAAGCATGTTAAAATAATTAGAGAAATCCTAAAAACATACCGAACCTATGCGAACAAAATACCCTATCAGGTAGATCATGATTTTAGAAACTTAACAAAACCGGTTTTACAATTTTTGGACAACTATACAAATTTATATTGATTGTACAAGTTTATTTATGAAACTAAATTAACAATTGCTTAGAAAACTTTAAGGGCCAGAGGCCACCTATTGCCCAAAGAGAAAAGCACAGCACACGCTGCCCAGGCGTGGCGGCACAGGCAGCCCAAGCAAAGCCAGGAGCATGCTTGCCCAGGCGGGTGAGCGGCGGCCAAGAAGAAGGGGCTGCCCACCTACCGACCAGGCGGCCTAGTGTGAGGTAGCCGGCCCACGACGGAAAAGCTAGCGGCGGCGGCCCATTTTGCAAAAATGCCGCTGCGTTTTCTCGAAACTAACCTGCAGTCCAACACATACTATTC